TTTTCGACAACTTATCATCACCTCTACATTCCAATTGGCACGAATTGACGTTTTTCTAAAACTTGTTCTGTCACAAGGGACTCAGTCAAAAGAGAATATGAGTGTTTGCACCCGTGCTTATTTTTAATCAAAATGCACATTTTTAGTCATGACAAGATACTTGAAACAAAGGTGACTGTCAAAATAAGAACACTTTAAAGTGGAAATTCATAGTCTTATGGTATTCGTAATCATCTTTTCAAGCCTCTTAAAATGATATGTTTCTCATGCTTCATCTTCAGTCTCGCTAAGATATATTGTTCAGTCAGAGCAATTTAATCCATGATCGGTGAATGAAACGACAAAATTCATCAATTTTCTGTGACGTGATCAAATCTGAATTGAAGATCAATCATTTCCAATCAGCTACGCAGCTTCACCAAAAATATGAGAAGAATCGCGCATTTTTGAATCAGAAAATATTCTCGTCGCATGTCTTCCTATCGGATTTGAAGCACCTTCCTACATCTTCATTCGTTTTTTGATCAGTTCCCCTCCTGGGAAGATAGAATTTTTGTGTTGCCTTCCTCTCGTTCACTTTGCTCCAGGACGGGCGCAATCGCCCGACTAAAACGTTGCTCTCTGACGGAAATTGCATCCAACAACAGCACTTTGTCATAAGATTTATGTTACACTACGAAGTAACCAAATTTCCCTCGCTCATGTGAGCATTTTCATATCGGCAGTGGTTTGTCACTTTGCGTTATCATCTCCCAATGAAATTCATTCACTCATATGTCATAATCTCATTAGACTTATCATCACATTAACCACACATCAATAACTGAGCAATGATTCTGCTCGAATGTGACCGTTTCGGCACGCAATCAACACTCTCACAACAGATCATATATGTTTACAGGAGTATTATAGGGATGGACATCAAGAAATTGAGGCAAAAGACTTGTGAGGGCAAATACTCATAAACATGCTTCGGAATTACACTGTATAAGCCGTTAAAGACATAAGAATTTCATTGCAAGACAACATAGAGTTAGTTGATCAGGAATCTGTTGAACTTCTCAAATGACAAATATTTTCAAATAATGAAGATTAGTTTTGGGGGTTCNGATAAAAATGAAACAAGGGTCTGTCTAAAGATACTTGTTTACGCTGCCATTTTATGCTGATTTTATACTGCATTCGATATCATTGGTGTTTTTTCGATGGTTGCTTAGCACTGATAAGGGATGTGCATGCCGCTTCGATGCATTATCATATCGTAGCTTCGCAATTGCAATCTACCGATAACGGCAATCAGTAGAGGTACATTGCTCAATAAACACAGTGCATTGCCTATAATCAAAATATTTATCGCCATCGCAATCCATCGATTATTTTGTATGTCAATTGCTTAGCACTCACCGCTCTTCATGCTAAATCCTTCTCAACTGAAACGTCGTACCGAGAAATTCTTGAGTGAGTCTTCTGAAGAAAATACTGATCTTCGAGAACTGCAACGTCGTGCCAAAAAGTTGTTAACTGAGCCGTCAAAAGAAATTGCTCACCTTCGAGAATACGTCTCTGGGAAAAAACCATCAACAACTGCCACTACTTTTACTTCCAGTGTAAGTACCCATATTCCGATTCGAAACATTGGCCCAAAAAGTCAGTTCACCGAACGTGTACGTATTTCTTCAACGGGAGCTGGTTCTGAACGAATGAGTTTTAATACCAGCGATTCTGATGCATTTGCATCACAAAGTCTTCCATCTTCACAGATCAGAAGCCCTCGATCAGAGCCCAGAACCAGTGCTTCGAAATGCTTCTCAGATACGGATTCTCCTGACAGCTTTCGTATGGGCTCAGAAACGTATCCAGTCCACAAAACGACAACTAAAACAACTCGAACTGAGCGAGTCTATTACTCATTACCACCTGAATCACCGACTAGCCCTCACTCGATGAAGATTTCTAGTGAACAGTCTCAGTGTTCGACAACACCACAAACAAATCGAGCAGGTATGAAAGTTAGTTCACGTCTATCACGTCCATCAGCTATACCTACTCTCATTCGAAATACCTCATCGGCTGATAGTCACTTACCTTCATGGAGCATTAGAAGTGGTGATGTTGGAGAGTATGCACGTGATGCTACTCAGTCAAGTCCTATTGTTGCACGATCCACTTATGTCGCCAGGAAATGGGTTTCTTCGTCAACTGGCTCATCGCCTACATCGTTGGAACGACCGTCGAAAGTGCCTAAACCTTCGATCAGGTCACCTTTATCACCAACACAATACCGTACAGCAATGACAGCAACCAGCACTCATTCGTCGCCAGGTCGAGGATTCCCAGCAAATATTCAACAGTCGACAAATCTCTCCGATTTCGATATCACTCCTTCTGAAGGCACCATATCGCTGCTATCGGAAAATGGCCATGATCAAGCTACGAATCCAACACTGGCATCGAGCCCTACGAAAACTATAACTCATGTAAGAATTGCTCAGCAGCCTGCAGCTGTATATACAACTGTCTCTGGAGGTAAAACTAAGAGTCGATTACCTGATTCTGAAATGACTGTCTCGCACCAACAGAAGATATCTTCTTCACTAACTGGCGATGAAATTGACAAGAAACCACTTGACGTAGTATNCTCATTGAAACCAACCGATGAAATCAATTTTCAACCGTTAGACTCTGCGATTCGAATTCATTCAACGTTAGGAAGTAAGCTACCAAATTTGCAAACAATCACTCACACTCAGATTGAATCTGAAACTTCACCTGTGAGCAGTAAAATGGTGTCTAATGAACGGCTGAAACCATCTCCAAATGCAATAAGACAGGCAGAAATTGATCAATCAATAGAAGAGACCCCTACGAAGATTCCGTCTCCACCAGTTACCAAATCATTAAGACCACCTATTCCACCGAGGAGACCATTGCTGAAGCATTCTATTGCTACTGCGGGTGACACTTCAACTGGAATTCCTGCGAATGAAGTTGAAAAAGAAATGCAATTCAAAGCTTCAAAAGCACTCAATGCCATGGGATCGCCTGTACCATCGACTGGAACACCTCAAAAATATGATTTACCTCAACAGATAGCTGCATTCAGCAATGAAAATGAGGATACTTCAAATGAGATTGTAAAACATCGAGAACCTGTTCTAACTTCAACGCCTTCGCCAATTTCACATACACACGGTTCTGAAAATGTAATTAAAGTAAGTGAAGTTCAGATAACTTCCCCAGTATCATCATCTCTATCGTGGGCGGTAAATGTACCAACTGCTATAAATACTGATGTAAAGATTACTGAACAGCATGATGAAGAGGTCGATAAAATCCCATCGAAATCATCCACCATCACACCAGTACGACTGAATGATGACCAGTTCCGACAAACATCAAGTATCAATATATCATTTCAGGATGCAAATGCATCCAATAAGTCTCCATACGTTGACAGCTCTGATAGAGACATCACTTTTCAACCATCTGCCGATATTATCCAATTACACGTGCCATCTGAAACGCGTTCTGATTTTAAGATTCTCCCTTGCGATGTTAATGAAGTTTCTGGCGAACGGGATTCATCACCGTCAGCACAGGCTCCACTGCTTAGACCTAAAGCCGCAGAAAGTACCACGATCCATCATCATCCACAGCTGTTAACGTCCGTAATACGTCAGACCATAATGAAACCATCTTGTGAACCTAATGCGGAATCTGGAATGGATAAGCAACGCCAGCAGGTACCCTCTTCATTGCGGATTTCATCTACCGATGCCACTGGCATACCAAATGATCAGACTCCAATGAAACCATCTTGTGAACCTGACGCCGAATCTGAAATGGATAAGCAACGCCAGCAGGTACCCTCTTCATTGCAGATTTCATCTACCGATGCCACTGGCATACCAAATGATCAGACTCCATTGAAACCATCTTATGAACCTGACGCCGAATCTGAAATGGATAAGCAACGCCAGCAGGTATCCTCTTCATTGCGGATTTCATCTACCGATGCCACTGGCATACCAAATGATCAGACTCCAGTGAAACCATCTTACGAACCTACTGCCGAATCTGAAATGGATAAAGAACGGCAATACGTATCATCTTCATTGCGACTTTCAGCGACCAATGCCGCTGATATACCAAGTCATCAGACAACCCCCATTAAGCCAACTGATCAAGCTTCTGATATTGCTGGTTTGAATCAAATCAGTTCATTGCGAGAGCTTGCTACGAAAGCAGTATCGCCGTCATCTCTTACGGAAAAAAGCTTAAATGAAAATTCCGTAGAAGTAGCAAAAGCCAATGGAGATGCAACTGATGAGCAGTCATCACCATACGGTACTCATACGAGTGGTATTGAATCAAGAATTCGAAATCTAATAGGTCAGCGTTCGTTCATCAAGTCTCACATGTCTTTCCGAAGCACTGATCAACTAATAGGTTTTTTGAGCACATTTCCTTATCTTATCTCTTCGACTTGAAATAATTTCAGTTAGATCTGCTTAAAATTTTCGCTTTTAGTGATCTCTTGGCTATTTCTTTTGTCATTAAATTGTTGCGTACAGTGACCATGCAAGCAGTTCTAATTCATCAAGGTCATGATTCTAATGCTGATACCTCTTCGTCCTCATTGTTGTCAGCATTTATATCATCGCTTATGATTGCTTGAATATTGTTGGAAGATCTTTCTTCACAATTGTTTTCTTATTCCTGATTGAGTTTGTTCTGCGTACGATAGTGTTCTTGATTTTCAGTAACTGATTGGAAAGGTATATGTTATTGAAGTGTTCTGAATTCCCACTGCTCTGGATGCTATTGTTGATTCCTGGCAATAAAAATCAGTGCATTGGTGAAAATTGTACGGAGAGATGCAAATTGTTTGACTTTGAAAAAATAACTTGCAGACGAGCGTGAGAACGTTCAGAAGAAGACATTCACAAAATGGGTTAACTCACATCTGGTACGTGTGAACTGCAAAATTCACGATCTTTACATGGATATGCGTGATGGTAAGATGCTCATCAGACTCCTCGAGGTGTTGTCTGGCGAAAGGCTTGTAAGTTCATTTGTTAACATTACTTTTTCGGCAATTCATTCTGGTTGCAGAAGAACTCAATGTGTTCATGAAAATTCATTCATGAGAAAAAAAATTCATCCTTGAAACTGCTCGTTTCATTTTAGTATTTTATGCCGAGGAATTGTGCAGTTATATACGATAGGTGATAATTTGAGCAGTTGTATGTTGTTTTGATGAATTGATGCAGCAGCATTTGGAGGATTAAAGCAGCCGAAGTTTTTCAGTTCACATCAATCATTTGATCCACCAGTTTCGTTGTTATTATCAACATTACCGTCTGCGTTTTGCATAAGACCTATTCGTAAAGCATCTTTCTATTTCCAAAGAATCGTTTCAAAGGGCACATATAATTTGGAAAAAAATGCAG